TTAAAATGCTTCCTCCTTGGGAAATAAAAACCTTTGGAAGAATCCAGAATGGAAAATAAGTAAGGAATGTTTCTGACAGTTTTATGAAAGCTTAATCCTGTGACACCTGAGAGATTTATCAATGGAAATTATGGCCCTTCCTATGATTTAATAGATGGATAATCCATTGGAATATGACTCAGATCTCTGTCATTAACCTCAAAGTAGATAATTATGGGCAAGAGATTAAAAAAATGGTAAAACTAAAGAATTATTTCAAACCAGAATAGACTTTTGCAATCAGTTCAAATTAAGGAAGCTTAATAAGAGGCACAATAGAATCACATCACTCATGTTCCTAAAAGTAAGCAAAATGATTCTTAATTCTGAAGTAGTTTTACTTTTTGTGATTTTGTGGTTTTTTGTGTCTTTTTTTGCCAGTCTTGGGGTTTGAACTCTGGGCCTGAGGTGCTGTCCCTGATCTTCTTTTGCTCAAGGCTAGTGCTCTTTCACTTGAGCAACAGGGCCACTTCCAGATTTTTCGGAATGGTTTATTGGAGATAAGAGTCTCCTGGACTTTCCTGCCCTGACTGGCTTCGAACTGTGATCCTCAGATCTCAGCCTCCTGTGTAGCTAGGATTACAGGTGTAAGCCACCGGCGCCGACTATTTTCGCTCTTTACAGTCAGAATTTTATCTTTATCATGTTTAGGAATAATTAATGCCTCATGTAAGCCTATAGAATGCTTTTTAGGGATGCATGTTTCTGAAAGGGAAAATGCACAATATGTTAACAGTGTTAGTTAGACCTAAACTGCCAAGTTATTGGGTAAGTTTGGTGTGTTTGGGTTACATACCTCCCTGAAGGTCTTGTTTCATATGTCACATTCTCTGTGTGTTTAAGTTAACTAAACAAATCTACTTTACATGCCAAACTACATGTACATCTTGGATATTTAGGGTTGAAAAGTAAATTGGCCACAAACAGAAGTAATATTTATCTTAAAAGAATAAAAAGGCTTTTGATGTTTATTAGAGTATGCTACATAATCCATTTGTGATTGTTGCAACTTCTCAATCATCTGTTGGACAACTGAAAAATTTTTGACAGAAGAGGAGAGCAAGATAAACATATTTATAACTAAGAAAAGGAGCCAAGCGCTCGCTGGTGGCTCATGCCTGTAATTCTAGATTTGAGGATCAAAGTTTGAAGTCAGCTGAGGCAGGAAAGTCCATAAGACTCTTTTCTCCAATTAACCACAAAAAAAAAAAACAGAAGTCAGACATGGTGCTGTGGCTCAAGTGATAGAAAGTGACAGAGCACATACCTTGAGCAAACACTTTGAGCTGAAGAGCTCAGGGACAGCGCCCAGGCCCAGAGTTCAAGCCCCACCACTGACAAAAAAAAAAAAAAAGCTAAGAATAGCACCCAGGCCCTGAATTCAAGCCTCAGGGCCAGCACGAAATTAATTAACCAACTGGTTCTTCCATAAAAATTAAAAAGGTGGGAGATATTCTATAAAAATCTTTCCTATTTCATCAAGATAACAATATATGAGTACTTGAAATGTTTCATTACATACTTCTACCTGGCTGGAAGAAAACTGAAAGGCTCATTTTAGAAACTGAGTATCTGTGACTATATTGAACAGAGGCTGCCTTGATAGGGAATTTAATGTAGATGAATTAAACTAGTAAGAGTAATGTCTCAAGTACTATTTTCATATAGGGAATTTCTTGATAGACTACTTTGGTTACTACATTTGTTGAAACTTAACCTATTATATCCTTTAGCCAAATCTCCAGCTAGTAACTATTGGAAAAATATTTTGACAATTAGCCTATTTTTGGCTGCCTCAAATGTTCTATAAAAGGCATTTTTTGACTTAATTTACATGCTTGTTTTCAAAGATAACTATTTTAATATCTACCTGAAATGATGGTATTTTTACTAAAGAATATTATCCGTATGGAATTTGTGTGTTTCCAATGATAATTTTTTATCATCCCGTATACTCTGTATACATCCCAACAAAGGAATGTGTGTATCTAATTACATTTGAAATTTTACTTCAAGGGCTTTTTATTACACAATTTTATTGAAAGAGGTCCTAAATATTATCTATATTTCTTCTAATTTATCTTTCATATCTAGCAAAGTGTAACTTTCCAACCATGTAAATAGCTACAAAAAAAAAAAAAAGAAAGTAATGCTTTCTGGAAAAACTGTAAAGCCAAAATAGATGTCCTTCCAAGGACTAAAGATTTACATTAAAAATACAGGTTTTGAGATAATCAGATCACTTAGGTGTACATAAACTCTATACAAAGATGAGTTTAGTTGCCCACAATATTTGTAGATACTATTGTTATCTTGAGCAAAATAAAGTTTTAAATTATATCTGCCCATAAATACACTGCTTTAATAGGAGGGATGCGTTCCATAAATGCTGAAAACACCCTCTTTAATGACCCTTATTTATACTGAGTTAAAAGAAATCCAGTGCCCTACATTGCAATCCAACATGACACATTTGAAAATCCAGTCTGTAACACAGGGAGAAAAAAAAATGTGTTTACCCTTTTGTAGCCAAAGGCAAGAGCTTGATATATGAGGTCGGCCTATACTTCTTGCTTACGTTTTACCTTTAACTAGACTGGAAAAATCACATGTGCATCTGTTTTTGGTCAATGCATTCAACAGCCACCAATCAGCTGACCCATACTCTCAAATTCAGCTCAGGTTTGCCTTAAGGATATTTGGCATAGTCATTTGTCAAAATAATTGTCTTTTTCCCCACTAGAAAATATTTTCCCTTATTTACATTTTGCTGTTTAGGAGTATTTTTAAACCCCTACATCAATTGCATATGATGGCAAAAAAAAAAATTACATCGCCAACACTGTAAAATACTTAGATTCAAAACAAACAGAATAAAGCCTGCTTTTGGTTTCCGCACTCTTAATGTATTAAATAGTAGCATCCACTCTATTTCATACCTTTCCCCCCCAGATTCTGTATGCGACTTCTCACCACTATCTCTTATTTACACAGGATTCGTACATAATTTTTTATACAAATAAAATAGTAGTCACTAAGTTGATCCCAAATGAGGTTAATTATAAGGACGAAGAAAGGATTGGCACTTCATACCTTACGTAGGTGGAAACCACTGTGCAAACTTTTCACAGTTTTAAGGTCTTAATTTGTGAAAACCATACAAAAATCAAACTAATGTATCTGTCACTTTTAAGAAAATCATTCATTACTTTAAAAGTAATCTACTGTTGATATAGTACCTTCATGTAGAGAGTATGGATTACTTTTAAAGCTAGTAATGTTTATATCAACAGAATCTTGAACACATGAAAAGTATTTAAATAAACAAACAATACTCATGTGTTAAGGAGAACACTTACGGAACTATTGGACCTGCTGACATCCTTTTTTAATTCTAGATATATAATACTAATAACAAAATTTGTAAAAAAAATGTCTATTTACAAGCATAACTCAGACATATGTATTTCTGGCTTAAAAATAATAGCTTTCTGCTTCATGTAATGCTAATTCCATCAGTTAATGAAATAAGTGGGTTTTTTAAAATGAAGTAGTCTTCTTAGGAACTAGCACATCCATGAAAAGTAATGTAAGTGTGAGATTTTACACAACTGTCCAATGCTCCAACCTCTTATGAGATCAGTTCTAATAAACAGTTCTAATAAACTGTTCTAATAAACAGTTCTAGTAAACAGATCACCCCCAAACCAAGAAAAAGTGATCACAGTATGTCTTAAATGAGTTAACCACACACAAATGCAAATGAAAATATTTGCTAGTGAAAGAGAAACCTTCAAATCAGTTACAAACTCTTTGCTTCCTATATTACTTGCTTCTTTGTTCAGTATACTTTCTTGTAGTAAGAGGATCCTTTTAAAATGGAAAGATGTGCCAACTTGCCATCATAAAAACGATCTATGATTCAGTTTAAACATTTTATCCTTCTTGTGAAATCATGGGAAATTTTATATGGAAACACTCCCAGTACATCTTAGATCAGCTAGAGCCATTCTTCCTCTAGAATTATGAAATAGTGGTAAATGAGCACATCAATCAGAGGAAACATTCAAAATACACCTTTCCTCCTAGAACGAAAAGGCAGTAGAACGCTACCCACTGGCCAGCTGTTAGATTATTGCATGTTGTGAATTAACCCATGTGCTTCCTTAAGTGAAATGACACAGAATCCTGTGTGGGAACACGGTGCGACCATTTCCTTTGAACATTACGTGAGGTCACTCACTTCACTACATTGTGGAGAGAGTAGATCCAGCTGGGCTGGTTTGTGAGTTCAGGTGGATCTGAGACTAAGTTGATTTGGCATCAAGGTACAATTCATGGCATCACAGCCACAGGATATATGCATTGCGTGATAGGCAGAGACATTTACAACCCAGAACATAGGAGTGGGGCAGACTCGAGTGACATCACTAGACCAGCGGCATCAACCGACTCAAACAGACACCCTCCATCCCACGTCTCTCCCCAGCATGCAAGCCTTCCCTCACCCTCACCTGCATCGGGGAAAAGAGCAGCTGCCCCTCTGTGCAAGAAGACTTGGGTTTACTCAAGTGACCAGCAAAGAAAAAAACCAAGGAAGAGAATTTAAAAAAAAAAAAAAAACAAGAGAAAAAAACTAAAGGAAGGGAACACAAAAACTAGATTAAGTACATGTCACTAAACTGACATTTACATGATGGGAATAGCACTGAAGGGGAAATGAAGTTGTATTTTCCATACAAGAAATGAAGAAAGAAGAAGGTAGGGAGGAACGAAAGGAGAGAAGAACTAAATAATCCCAGATGAAATCTTCCCTTAACTCTGATTTTCCTCTGCAAGCAGCCAACTGTGGGAATCGTGACATTCTTTCACAAAACCACAATAAAAGAGCACAAAGGGACGGCAATACCTCATTTCAGGTCTCTTCTCATTTACTCATGTAACTTAGCTTTTTTACTTACAGGCATTTGTCACGGCAAAACTGTTGGCTGTCTCGATGTTGTCCACGTGAGGTACCAAATTAAAAGGAGCTTCTGACGCATTGGGGCTGGTGTTATGAAGAAAAATTGCTAATCGAAAAGCAGTGTATTCCTGATCTGTGTTTCGGATGAAGAGACCACCTATGGCAAACAGAGAGGAACGCATTCAGTGCCCCCTCTCGTCAATGTCTGAAGCACTGTCAAGTCTACTCACAAGCACCGTACAGTAAAGGGGCGATCCCTGGCACATTTTGGGGAGACTAGTCCCTAAGAGGCATGCTCGGTGTTTTGGTTCTGGAGGACAGCCCTGCTTTTCTCCTGGCCCCGATGTGTCATGATCACAGTGACCTCTGAGCACACCGAGCGTGGGTTTTACCTTCTGTCACTTGTCCACCCCAGGATTCCCAACATGGTCACACCGGGAGCTCTGGGGTTCTCTCTCTTTCAGAAGAGCAGGCAGATGCACACGGGGGGGAGGGGTTGTACATGGAAACACAGGGCTGGAGGAATGCAGGGGCATCCTGGCCAAGAGCCAGGGCTTTAGAGAGAGAGATGAACTTTGTGGCTCTGCTGCTCGTGGCCCTTCAGTCTCCTGAGCTCGGGGGGCTGGCTGCACCTTCCACGAGAAACGATGCAGCACTGAGGCTGGGCTGGAAGAAATTCAATAGCTGCGTCCCATGAAAAGCCAGGAGAGCAGCAGAGCCAGCAGAGCCCAACAGAGCCCAGGACCCAGGGTGGCTGGGGAGGGGAGGCAGCTAGCCAGGCAAGAGCTGTCGTGAAGAAGGAAACAAAGCCACACGAGAGAGAGGAGAGAGAGAGGGAGAGATCAGAGAGAGAGAGACACAGAGAGAGAGAGACAGAGAGATCAGAGAGATCAGAGAGGCATCGAACTTTGCCATAGGCTAAGCCACAGCCGGGAAAGGCACCCGGTGCGGTGGCAACGGTTAAACAATAACATAAAATAAAAAGCCAGTGTCCTTCTGTACTCGGATGGAGGCGGCTGCGTCCAGCATCAGGTGAATCGTATGAAATACAGACACCCCTCCCCCAGAGGGGACCCCCCACCCCACCCCACCCCACCCCACTCCCTGCAACCCGACTTAACCGAGTCAGATCCAAGGTGGACCCGGGGCTGGGGGCTGGAGGGGGCCGGCTGGGCGGGCGGTCGTCCCGCGGGCACGCCGCCGGCGGAGGCTCGGCCGCGGAGGCTGCCTCCCCGGGCGCGGGGAGGCGGAGGAGGAAGGGCCGCGGCCGGGAGCGAAGCGAGCCCCGGGAGCTCGCCCGCAACTCCGGGAACTCACTTTGGGAGGTCTGCGGGGCCCCGCGGCGCTTACCTATTTGGACGCTGCTTGGAAAGGCTCCCATGACGAGTCCCCAGAATCCAGAAAACAACAAGACAATTTGTCTGCAAATAATCCTCATCTTCCTGCTCTCCTCTCCCTGGCGCGCGCTCTCTCGCTCTCTCTCGCCCGCTCGCTCTCACACTCTTCCTAAAGGGGGCTCGGCCCAGGCATGGGAGACGCTGGCGCTAAAATTAAATAACAACAACAACAATAATAATAGTGATCGCACGGGAGGCAGGAGGAGAGCGCGGGCTGGGCGAGCGCGGCGCTTGCCCTCAGCAGCCCCGGGCGCGCGGCGGCCAGGCTTTTCCCGCAGTCTCCATAGCCCTGGGAGACGGAGTCTCGGTCCGGCTGCAAATGTGGCACATGCAGAAGATGGTGGTGGACGGCGAGTGGCTGCCGGCGGGGACGAGACATGCGCTCTGTCGGTGCCTCGCTCGCCCCTCGCTCGCTTTCCCGCACACACACACACGCACACACGCGCGCACACACGCGCGCGCGCGCACACACACACACACGCACACACACGCACACACACCGGCGCCGCACGCGCGCCCGGATCGCACCCGCCGACACCAACGCCCCCCCCACCCCAAAGCCTGCACCAGCCGGGCGCATGGGCGCCCCCCGCCCCGCGTCCCCTCCCCTGCGTCCCCCCGCCCCGCGTCCCCTCCCCGCGCGCCCCCCGCCCGCGTCCCCTCCCCTGCGCCCCCCGCCCGCGTCCCCTCCCCGCGCGCCCCCCGCCCGCGTCCCCTCCCCGCGCGCCCCCCCGCCCGCGTCCCCTCCCCGCGCGCCCCCCGCCCGCGTCCCCTCCCCTGCGCCCCCCCCACCTCCGCCCGCGCGCCCGACTTCTCCTCCCCCCCCCCCCCCCGGGGTACTCACCCCAGCGCCCCGGACTCACGGACGCTCCGGACTGGGGACAGGGTTTCTCCGGCCCCTGGTCCCTCACTGGGCACCCCCCTCCCCTCCGCCTCTCCTCTTCCGGGGTTCAGCAGGGGGACGGGGCTTCTGGGGATGGGCGCCCCCGAGGGCCCCTTTCTTCGCTTTCCAGGAGTCTCGCTGCTTCTTGGCTGCACTTGGCAGGAAACTGGCCCGCGGGGCCCGGTCTGGAAGCCCGGAGCCGGGGCTGGGGGGGTCAGAGCCTCCCCCTGCCCCCGCTGCCCCGCCGCATCCCGCAGGCTCCCGGGGAGGTGCGGCCGTCCTCGCCCGCGCTCGCCGCCCGGCCCTGGTCTGCCGCCCGGGCTGCGCGCGCGGGGGCCTCGGCTCCGCGCTGGCTGCCGCAGAGCCTCCTCGGCCGCCCCGCAGCCCGGGAACGCGGAGCGCCGGCGCCCGGAACGGATCCGGGGCAGGCACCCAGCCAGCGAGCGGGACAGCCCGGGGCAAAAGGCAGCTCCCGCAAGGTCGAACCGCCCAGGGACCCCGGGGAAAGAATCAGAGAAGTTTAAATATCCTAGGACACAGGGCAAAGAGGAGAAGGTTGGGGTCAACAGCACACAAAGTTAAGGGTGATGAAGAGGAGGGGGAAAGACGGGGAGAGAAAAGCGGGAGGCAGAAGGCAGGCAGGGACAAGAACTTGGTTAAGGGAAGAAGAGTGAGGATGGATCGCTTCTTGCTTCCCAGGCACCCCGCACCCCTTCCTCTGGGCATGGGCCACTACTGGAGCAGGAGGATCAAAGTTCAAGGGCAAATGGAGGACAAGGGTAGTCCTTGCATGAGGAAATGGGAGTGTTTTGCACACCTGTGACTTCTGGCTGGGACGCTGTCATGCACCTTGTCTCCCCCCTCCCCCGGAGGGTGCATGCACTTTATTGGTGATGTTAGTAAGATGTTTGGACTGTGCAGAAGCAAGTGGATAGGAATTAGCCTAGAAAGTTCTGGAGCTAATGTGTTCTCCTCAGAGGCACCTTTAAGAGGATCAGTTCACCTGCAGGTCATGGATAGAGGTTGGTCCTCCACCCCTTTAGGAAGGGACTGAAGTAACCATGGTAGTCTGGGACAGGAGTCCTCAAACATTTTAAAGTTTCCTATTCACCAATGGGAGGTTTTAAAACGTGTAGATTTCCCCTCATGCTGAGGGAATATAAGGTTAACTTTTAAGAAGAACGAAGCAACTGTCCACGTTTCTAATGTTTGGGGAGGGGAGAAGAACGGAGTAGTGTGAAATTCTTGTAAAAATCCTACCTGGTAAAGACGTTTTCGGAATATGTATTACCTTTGCTTCTTTCAAGCTGCCTTTCTGAAAAAAGTTGCGGTGTTTAAGTAAAAATTTAAGTTGTAAACTGACGAATTCTAGGCACATGTAATTATGGGGTGCAAAGGGATGTCCTGATTTATGAATGCTATATGGAATGATTAAATCTAGATGATTAAAATATCCATCACCTCTGGTACCATTTGTGTGTGTGTGTGTGTGAGAGAGAGAGAGACAGACAGACAGACAGAGACAGACAGACAAAGAGACAGACAGACAAACACAGACAGACAGAGAGCTAGCTATGTGTGTCTGTGTGCTAGACATCTCCTGGTGATTTTGGATTGACAAGAATATAGAGCAAAGCGAGCCCTGTACACTGGCGATGGGAATATGAATTAGTATAGCTATTATGGAAAAACTCTAGAGAAATTCCACAACTGTAGGAATTGTAGGAATGACACAAGAGTTCCACTTCCACTTATTTACTCCAAAGATTTGAAGCCATCTGTGGAAGTGATTACTGCAGCGCAAAGTTCAGAGCAGGATTTGTCACACGTCTCCTCTGATTATGTAATTCTAATTAACTATAGTTTGTAGATGACGCTTCAAAATTCTTGTTACAAATCTCCGGCTGCTTTTCAATTCTTAAGTTGTGAATGTTGCTTTTTAAAAAATCACATCTTTTGTTATTTATCTATCCACTTTCCTGTTACATTTCACCACAGATTGTGATGACAAAAACAACCTAATTGTGAGTAATTGGATTTCACAAATCATATGCTTGTCATTTTAGCTCAGGAGGTTTCAGTCTTGCATGTCAAGTGGGATTGAAAATGTTTTCCTTTTTATGTTTCTGTCTGGGTGAAAACCAGGGCTGCAAATAATAACATTCTGTTTCTATTATGAGAAGGTAATAAAAATGGGCCACATAAAATTTAAGTTGAATTCAAATTAAATTAAAATTTGAAAACCCACTAAACTGTTAAACTCATCTACTCAAGTAGCTAGTGAAGTCCCGGCTGCTGCCTAGATGTAATTCTTAACTTTCGTTCTTCTCAAAATTGAAAGGCTGGGGCTTTTGTGTATTGTAACATCATCACTGGTATAGCTGTAGTACAAGTTTTATTATATTTTTTATTTTTTGCAGGTTCTAGGGCTTGAACTCAGGGCCTGGGTGCTATCCCAACCTTCTTTTGCTCAAGGCTAGCGCTCAACCACTGGAGCCACAGCTCCACTTCCAGCTGTTTTGGGTGGGATGGGGGTAATTTATTGGAGATGTCTCATGGACTTTCCTGCCCAGGCTGGCTTTGAACTGGGATCCTCAGATCTCAGCCTCCAAAGAGCTAGGATTACAGGTGTGAGCCACCTGTGCCTGGCATATGTTTTATTTTTTATCCAGTGATCACATCTAGAACAATATGACAACAGATAACAGAACTACATATATTTTTAGCATACTAGTCTCTTTTTTAATTTTCATTTTTCATTAACATCCCCATGTACTCTGAGTCTCCCTCTCATACACACATATATTATATATAATAGTTATATTTTGAACATCTACCATGTGTACTGACTCCAAATACTTCCAACAGATTAGTACAACAAAATCTCTGCTATTAGAAGATTACTCATGCTTAGTTTATGAGTGCTCAGGAAGGGCCAGGTTTTGTGCTCAGACCTTACATATCCTATTTGATTTATAGAAAGCTTTTGATACCTTGCCATTAATTAGAAACCTCATTTACAAGTTAAAATTCACACTCAAGGCTGTGTTGTTAGGAAATGAAGCCAAGGAGTAGAAACTGGGTTTTCTGGTGTGAGAGGTTCTGCTGGTATTCTGTGCTGATGAGTTTATGGACAGCCAGAATTCTAGAAGCCAAATAGAAGAGTGGGAAAACATACCGCACTTGGAAAGGTCTGCATAGGTGTGCTCAGTGTCTTATCTAGCCTGGATAAGAGACCTCACCATTCCATGGCTATTATCATAGATATGTTACCCAACTTTTCTAACAGAATATATGTAAATGCTTAGAACAGTTGTGACACAGAGGAAGCAATTCATATTAATAAAGAGTTGTGCTGGGCACTGGTGGCTTATGCCTGTAATCCTAGTTACTTAGGAGGCTGAGATCTGAGGATCCCCGTTTAAAACCAGCCTGGGTATGAAAGTCCATGAGACTCTTACTTCCAATTAACCACCAGAAAACCAGAAGTGGCACTGTGGCTCAAGTGGCAGAGCACCAATCTTGAGCTAAAGAGCTCAGGGACATTGCCCAGGCCCAGAGTTCAAGCCCCACGACCGACCAAAAAAAAAAAAAAGTTGCAAAAATATGATCAAAGCTTAGAAGGAGGTATATACACAGTTGTCTGGGTGCAAAGTATGCTTTCCAACTGTGATTTCCCCGTCTGTGTGTTTTCAGCTAAAAGTGAATTCACAATGATGACTCTTAATTAAATCCAGTGCTACAGGATTCATTTTCATCTCATTCCCTCACAAGACATTTGGCTCCCACTATCAAGCAAAATGCATTTATATATAGCATTAAATGCAACCTTATTCTCTAAGGACAACTGAGTTCTTCATACCATACTTTAGGTTTCAGCTACCCATGATTACAGGAAACCTAGATCTATTATTGTTACTTTTCCAGTTCCTGGAAAACCCTGACTACTCACAGGCATTCAAGATACTATTGCTTTAGATATTTTGTTCTTGGAGATGCCAGTGCATTATTCAGACGGCAGAAACAATTTAATAGATTTAGTTGTGCATGTATTACTAAATTATTTCTTGTAAGGGCCTGTTTTTGCAATGTACAGTTTTTTTTTTCCAGTTGAGCTAATGGTTTCTTTTTTCTGTGGCTGTCACTTCCCTGCAAAAGCACCAATACCCTATCGCCTCACACTGTGTGCTGTGTTACCTTTTTATCTGTCTGTCAGCCTTGCTTGAAATCAGCACACTAATCTTGCCCTATAGCAGTTGCTTGA